GGGTTCACCCATCTGTGGCCTCGTGATTCTTTGGAAGGAGTGACATAAATAAGAGAGGAAGCACCTCCTTGTCTCAACACTTAAGACCTTTTGTGATCTGACCCCTGCCTTCCTTCTCAGACTCATCTCCCACCGCTGCCTCCATCTCTGCCTCTGCATTGATATGGGGCTGGCAGGAGGTTCAGGAGGCCAAAGGGGCTTCAAGAGACCTTATCAGAGAACCTAGGAAGCTCCAAGCAGACAAATGAGTTGAGAATGCTGAAAGCTTCTAGATCGTTTTGACTCTTCAGCCCACATTGGTTCCATTTCGACCCAATCTGTCTCTTTGCTGGGATCAGCAGTAATATCCTGGAACCAGGGGTTGCAAACTCACCCTAGAGTTTATCCAATCTAGCGTCTCAGGGGCCATCTTGGTGGTTTTGGTGAGGCTAGGGGCAGAGCAGTAGTGGGCGGTGGGGACTGTGGCAAACCAGAGAGCTTGTAGGTGCCTTATCTAAAGGAGGCACAGCTGCCCGGCCCCAGGTGATTGCTGCTGTGTGGGATTGCGGGCTCAGCACAGTCAGATCTTCTGATTCTTTCAGAGAAAATTACAAATCTGAATTTGTAGGTAGCAATTTACCTATTTTTATGATCCCGTGTAGGTCAAACAAAATGTATGTGTGAGCATAGGTCCAGCGTGCGCCCGCTCTCTTTGTGAGAAAGGTCTAGAGGTTGGGCCATGATTTGCTCAGTGCTGCATCCTTGGTGGCCAGCACTGTGTCCCCGGCATCAGGGAGGCCTGGGAGGAAAGACTGAAGAGGGGAAGCTTCTCGTAGACATAAGGTTTCAGTGGCATTCATTCATTCATTCATTCATTCATTCATTCATTCGCTCGTGTGTTCATTTGCTTGCTCATTTGTTCATATATTCCTTCAACATTGTTTGTTTGTTTCCTTTTTCCTAGACAGGGTCTTGCTCTGTTGCCCAGGGTGGAGTGCAGCTTACTGCAGCCTCAACATTCTGGACTCAAACGATACTCCTACCTCAGCCTCCCCAGTAGCCAGGACTACAGCCCCGTGCCACCACATCTGGCTAAATTTTAATTTTTTTGTAGAAATGGGGTCTCGCTTTCTTGCTCAGGCTGGTTGGAAAATATTTATTAAGCAGTCACTGTACCCCAGGTTCTGTCGTAGCTGTTAGGAATCCATCCAGAAGGGAGATGGAGCGTGTCAGGGGAGGGACGTTTGGAATTTTAGATAGATTAAATGGAAAGCCCTCCTTGGGAAGATAACATTTGAGAAAAATGATAAGGGAGAGGAGGAGTAAACCACTCAGTGCGAGTGAACAGTGCTGCAGGCAGCAGAGGCAGCCAGTGCAAAGGCCCTGAGGCAGGAGAATGTCCAGCATGTTCAAAGATCAGCAAGGAGACCAAAGTAACAGGAGTGGAGTGAGCGAGGGGGAAGACAGGAGGGAAAGAGGTCAGGGTGGTGATGGAGAGACAGATCACAGGGGATCTTGCAGGCCGCATCGAGGACTTAGGCTCTAACTTGGGGTGAGTTGGGAATGCTGGGAGGGTTCTGAGCAGAAAAGGGACATAATCTGTTTTAGGTTATATCAGGATACTTCTGGTCACTGTGAGGATGGGGCAGAAACAGAGAGACTAGTGCAGAGGCTATTGCAGTGATCCAGGTGGGAACCGATGGTGGCTGGACCAGCGGAGGTGGCGGGAAGTGGCTGGATGCTAGATGCTTTGGGAAGCTAGAGCCACAAATGAGATAAAGATGGCACCAGGGTTTTGGCCTGAGCACCTGGGGATGGAGGTGCCATTTACTAGCTGGGGATGCAGTGTAGACTTGGCCCCTGTCGTCGCAGAGCTTGCAGCTTGCTGGGGGAAATAGACATTAATGTATGTGTAAGCCGAGTCCCCTGTGAGCTTCTATTTGTAAGAAAGGGTCTGGAAGAAGTAGAACGTTCAGAAGAAGAAAAGGAAACCTTTAGGTGAAGAAAATGTTTAATATTTAATAGTAATATTGTATATTCATCTCTATACCAATGTGACTATAAAACATAATTTTAAAATTATTTTTAAGTTAAATTAAATTTTATTTAAATTTAAAATTTTTGGCTGGGCGCAGTGGCCCATGCCTGTAACCCCAGCATTTTGGGATGCTGAGGCGGATCGCTTGAAGTCAGGAGTTCGAGACAGCTTGGACAACATGGAGAAACGCCATCGCTACTAAAAATACAAAAATTAGCTGGGCGTGGTGGTGGGTGCCCGTAATTCCAGCTACTTGGGAGGCTGAGGCAGGAGAATTGCTTGAACCCAGGAGGCGGAGGTTGCAGTGAGCCAAGATTGCACCACTGCACTCCAGCCTGGGCAACAGAGTGAGACTTTGTCTCAAATAAAATAAAATAAAATAAAACAAAATAAAATATTTAATTTTTGTGGGTATTTAGTAGGTGAATATATTTATGGGGTACATGAGATATTTTGACACAGGCGAACAATTCAATTACACTCTTTTAGTTATTTAAAAATATACAGTTAAGTTATTATTGACTACAGTCACCCTGTTGTGCTAGCAAATAGTAAGTCTTATTCATTCTTTCTAACTATTTTTTTTTTACCTATTAAGCATCCCCACTGCCCTCCCAATCCCCTACTACCCTTCCCAGCCTCTGGTAACCATCCTTCTACTCTCTATGTCCATGAATTCAATTGATTTGTTTTTTAGATCCCACAAATAAGTGAGAACATGCAGTTTGTCTTTCTGTGCCTGGCTTATTTCACTTAACATAATGACCTCCAGTTCCATCCATGTGGTTGCAAATGATAGCATCTCGTTCTATTTTATGGCTGAATAGTACTTCATTGTGTGTATGTACCACATTTTCTTTATCCATTCATCTGTTGATGGTTAGGATGCTTCCAAATCTTGGCTAGTGCTGCTATCCACAATTGATAAATACAACAATTGTGCTATCCACGATGGATAAATACAACAATTTTTAATTAATTATTTAGTTTTTATTTAGGAAGGGGCTCATTAAGGCAAAATGGCCCAAAGCCCACCAATGCCTCAATGTGGCTGTGGATGCTGCTCTGCACTTTTATTTTTTGAGACGGAGTCTTGCTGTGTTGCCCAGGCTGGATTGCAGTGGTGTGATCACGGCTCACTGCAGCCTCTGCCTCCCAGGTTCAAGTGATTCTCCTGCTTTAGCCTCCC